TCTCACAGCTGTCGACAACCAATTTATAGTATGTGGATCAAATTCACTAAACTTATTAGTTGAAATGAAAATTGATCTAAAGAACAAATGCTTTGAAAATATCAAGATTTAAAATACTTCATTATTTGGAGCTAATTTTGTAAGATGCAATTTAAGCGGATCATAGTTTAATAATGTAGATATTAGTAGAATGAATTTGAATGGAGCTCTACTTTTTAACTGTAAATGGAAGCACATTAAAATCCATGAATTGAATAAATTAGATGGTCATACTCTTTCGATCAAATCAGTTTGCTTCTCTCCTGATGGCACAACCTTAGCATCTGGTAGTAAGGATGACTCTGTTCGATTATGGGATATGAATACATAATAATAAATAGCGAGATTCGATGATGTTAATTCTGTCTGGTCAGTCTGCTTCTCTCCTGATGGCACAACCTTAGCATTTAGTAGTTCAAATAGTTCAATCCGATTATGGGATGTTAGAACAAAAAAAACAAAAGCCAAATTAAATGGTCATACTAGTTAAGTAAAATCAATATGTTTCTCCCCAGATGGTAATACATTAGCTTCTGGCAGTGGTGATAAGTCTATTCGATTATGGGAAATTAATACAGGATATGAAATAGCATAATTAGATGGTCATACTAGCAATGTAACATCAATATGTTTCTCCCCAGATGGTAATATATTAGCATCCGGTAGTGATGATAAGTCTATCCGGTTATGGGATATTTAAAAATTTAAAGCCTAATTGGTTGGTCATAGATGGTCAGTCAATTCAATTTTCTTCTCTCCCGATTTTACTATCTTAGCATCTGATAGTGATGATAATTTCATCCGCCAATTACATAATATCAAAAAAGGTAAAGCCAAATTAGATGGTCATTAGTATTCTGTCCTATCAGTATGCTTCTCACAAGATGGAACTACTTTAGTATCTTGTAGTTCAGATAACTCTATCCGATTATGGGATATTAAGACAGGATAATAAAAGGCCAAATTAGATGGTCATAATAGAGAAGTAAGCTCAGTCTGCTTCTCTCCTGATGGTACTACCTTAGCATCTGGTAGTTAAGATTAGTCTATCCTTTTATGGGATATTAATACATAATTATAAAAAGCAAGATTAGCTCATAGTGAATGGGTCAACTAAGTCTGTTTCTCTCCTAATGGAACTACCTTAGTGTCATCTGGGAAATTTGATAAGTCTATCCAATTATGGGATATTAAAAAAGTATAATAAATAGCCGAATTGGATGGTCATAGTGAAGATGTCAACTCAGTCTGCTTCTCTCCTGATGGAACTACCTTAGCATCTTGCAGTCGTGATGGGTCATTAAGATTATGGGATGTTAAAACTGGATAATAAAAAGCTAAATTATTAGATCAGGCTGATTATATACGCACGATCTGTTTCTCTCCTGATGGTACTACCTTAGCAGCTGGTTGTAATGATAACTTCATCCGATTATTTGATGTCAAAACTCAATAATAAAAAGCAAAATTAGCTGGTCATTTTAGTTATGTCTGGTCAGTATGCTTCAATCCTGATGGAACAACCTTAGCATCTGGTAGTTTTGATAACTCTATCAGATTATGGGATATTAAGACAGGATAATAAATAGCAAAATTGGATGGTCATAGTAATAATGTCTAATCAGTCTGTTTCTCTCCTGATGGAACTACCTTAGCATCTGGTAGTAGAGATAACTCTATCAGAATTTGGGATATTAATACATTATCATTAAAAGCGTTATTAGTTGGTCATAGTAGATGGGTCTAATCAGTCTGCTTCTCTCCTGATGGAACTATCTTGGCATCTGGTAGTGATGATAAGTCTATCCGATTATGGGATATTAAAATAGGATAATAAATAGCAATATTGGATGGTCATAGTAATGATGTCAACTCAGTCTGCTTCTCTCCTGATGGCACTACTTTAGCATCTGGTAGTAATGATAAGTCTATCCGATTATGGGATGTTAAAACAAGAAAATAAAATGCCGAATTGTGTGGCCATAGTTTTTCAGTTGAATCAGTTTGCTTCTCACCTGATGGCACTACTTTAGCATCTGGTAGTAATGATAAATCTATCCGATTATGGGATATTAAATATGTAACAGAATAAGGTAATATTTATTTTTTATTTTTTAAGCTTATCGTAATTATCCTTTTTTTGTTATATCCTAATAGATTGAATTATAAGCATAAGGTGCTTTAATTTTAAAAGGAGAATTTATCAATTATAAAGGTGGAGATTTGCTACCATTCTTAAAATCAAAAGGAAGTGTAATTTTAGATAAATGAATTAATAAATCATAATAGATTAATTTAATTATTATTGCATTTATAAGTTTTAATTTTTAATATAGCCCTATTAATTTTATGTAATAAGTAAATGAATTATAAATGATCATCATCCTTTAATTGGAATGAGAGCCTCATCAACTCCTTCTTTTGAATTCATTGATTATTAATGATAAGCTTAACATAAAATGATTTTAGAGTTTTCTTCAAATTCATTTTGATTATTCATTTTTCATAATATCTTTCTTATATTTAATTCAATAACTACTAAAGTGTATTTAATGAAAATTTTTTTAAAATTCCTTCATCAATTTTTGTCACCATCAAATTATCTCAATTTAATTATTATTTTGACAATCAAAAGTTTAATTAATGGAAAATTTAAACTTATAAAAAAAGTTAAAATATTTATTATTATTATCATTATTCTAATGGTGATTATTATTTTTATCTCAACTATTCTTTATTTAATAATGCAATATACTTTTACATTTTTTTATTAAAAAATCTCTTTCTACCTTGAATTCACAGGATGTAAGTTATATAAACTCAGTTTTTTTTTCAATTAAAAAGATTTGTCGCTGATGAAAAAACAAATAAATCATCTTAAAATAGTTAACAGATTTAGCATTGTTAATAATAATTTTTCGGAATTGTTTTAAAACGCCTTCTTAAATCAAAAATTTCTAAAAAGCGCTCTAATATTTCAACCCACAGATAATATATATATTTCATCAATATATTATTTGATTTAAATCAAGTGAAACAAATAAGGATTCCGATCAATATCGAAAAATGAATCACCTTGCAATTCATGCTATTTGTACAAAGCAAGAAATAACAGAATTTTGGATAACGTTAAGATTATATTTTATATCTGATTAGATAAAAACAAAACACAGTGAAAATGAGAATTAGAATGCTATAGATGTAAAATCAACACATTTTCAATGATAAGGTTTTTTGTAAGACAATTTATACTGTTTCCTCCCTACGATCATGATTTCTTTATAAAACTATTTATTTTATTGTATCGTTATTGATAATTTATAGATATACAATTATTGGATTTAAGACTAATAACTGAAAGTATAAAATCTAATATTAATGTGTTTTGCAAAATATTTTGACATTTTACCTTTTAATTTTATCAAATTAGGGCAAGTTTATTTTCAAATTTTCAAACTTAATCGTAAACCTTGTTTTACAATTTTTTCATTTATTTTAACTTTACAATGTTTTATTTACATTAAGTAGTAATTCGAATGCTTCATAAAATTAAAAAACTCATTTAAAACTTTATGAAAAAATAATTTATATCAGAGAAGTTTTGTTGCATAAAATAAATAAAGATTCCCATAAATATAAATAAACAATATTGGTTATTGTTATTTTTATATTATATTTACATTTTAAATTGAATAAATTTTAAATAAAAAGATAATTATATTTTATTTATTACTTATATATATATCATAATAAACAT